ATCCGCGCGGGGCTCACGCCGAAGCTGCGCGACGTGCCGAACCTCGTCGCGGGGCTCACGTACGCCGCGGCGCCCGCGCACGCGCACCTCGTCCCGCCCGTCGCGTTCGCCGCCGCGGAGCACAGCGCGCTCTACGACCCGCCCATCCCCGAGTTCTCCGTCGTCCGCACCGTGCTGGGCGCGAGCAGGGAGGAAAAGGAGCGGGAGGAGAGGCACCCGGGCGTGGATGGCCCGAGTATCGCGATTGTGACGGAGGGGAGGGGGGAGGTCGTTTGGACGGAGGGGAAGGGTGGGGAGGAGAGGATGGAGGTGGGCGAGGGGGAGGTGTTCTTCGTCGGCGCGGGGCGGGAGGTCGAGTTCGTGGCGAAGGGCGAGGGGAGCTTCGTCGTGCATAGGGCGTTTGTGGAGGCGAAGTGAGCTCGGAAGAGCGGTGAAACTTGAAAGAAGCTGGCCATGCCACGGAGGCTGTTGTACAGTACATCATCGTCGTATCTCATATGAGATGCTTGTTGTTTCGTTATGTAAATGCATATTGGGTGCATCGGTGCGTAACGTACATCGCTGATATACAGTACCCCTCGTATACTTTGCAAAATGTGCACGTCTGCGAGAGACATCACTTGCCCCGACCGCTCAACGTAATCCCCAGATACTCGACAGCGCAGCCCTCAACCGCCGGAGGCCGCCAGACAAGGAGATGACGTCCTCCCGTCCCTTTCCCCCTTCTCCTGATAGACATCTGCATCTGAGAGAAGCTGTCCACAATCCGACGTACCTACCACCGGAGAGATGCGGGACAGGGATAGCCGTGGGCGCGCCGGTGATTCAAGCCTCCGTTCGTCCTGTCCTCCATGAACACGATGGATTGTGGGTGTTGTGTGGGACGCGGAGGCCGAGGAAGGGGGGCGCGAGACTTGGATGGGCTTGGGGTTCTCAGGCACCGGAGGGTGTATGGTAAGTATGACAAGCCTCAAGGTGTGCTGTGACTTTACCGAGAGAGGATGCTCTGTCCGGTGTCGTGCATGCGTGCGTGCTTTCAAGTTGCCGGTACCGGAGCTGGCCTCTCCTGCAAGGCACGAATGGGTAGAACACGGTTGCACGTATGTACATATATACCTAAGTTAGGCGTTCAGCATCGCTGGAGGGACAGAGAAGAGATGTCTGAGGAACAGACCTCCGATTTCGATCGGCCTCGATCGTGGCGAGCTGCTATGACGCTTGCTAAGCATGCTCACCTTGTGTTCCCCAGCCTTCCCCAGCACTCTTGGCCAGCAGATATCCCCTAGTTCATCCGGGTGACCGCGCAGGCCAGCGTGCTTTAGCGTGCATGGGCGTCGAGTGTAAATGCTTGTGGCACGATAATCTCCGGGATATCCCCACGACACCGCAATCGATCCAGCGAGGAGGGAAAATCGACGGACGTTGCGTTGCGTCCGTTCACACCGCGCTCGCGGGGACACTGATATCCGCATTCGAAGGAAGCCTTGGCAGAGCGTCCGAACTGACTTGAGGCACGCCGCAGAGCAGTCAGAGCGGCGAGCGCGCGAGCATGTTGAGTGCGACTGGGGAAGAGGAGGAGAGAGTCTGAGAGAAGAGGCGGCCGGGGGAGGGGAGCCGGGGGGAGAGAGCAGCCGGACTGGACCCGAGCGATCGTCCGCCGCAAAGAGCCGGTGCTCGTCCTGTGCTGCCTCCTGCGCTGATTCGCTGCGTGGGGCGTCCGCGAGGCCCGGGCGACTGGACGCGCTCGACAGGGCCCAGAGAAGAAGTGGACCCACTCTCTGGGGACTCGCCCGAGCTGCCGCCGTGTCCTCTCCAAGTCCCCGTCGCGCGCGGTCTTGTGCGGGCGACACAGCACAGCCAGACCTGAGGATAAGAACGAGCCCCTCTCCGCCCGACGTCTCGAGTGCGCCCTCTGCTTCCGCTCCTCCGCACGCGCGCACGTCTCTCCACCGAACCAGCGAACCAGCGAACGGCCGAGCGCGTTCCCTTTCCCAGTGGTTTTCCAGGCAAGGCATGTCAGCCTCCTAAAATTTGCCCCCGGCTTTCCTTCGGATTCGCTGCTCCCCCTCCTCGCGCCTCGAGGCTCGTCAGCCCAATTACCCCAACGCTTGGAGCTCTCTCTCTCGTCCTGCCGCTCTCTTGGCCCCGGCTGCTGCATTGTGGCGCTACCTCTCAACCCACCCTCCGGGCGCCGTCTCCCTCTGCACCTCTTCACTTGACCGTCTTGAATAGCTACTTGTTCTGCTCCTTGCTTGACGCGGCTACCGCTCTCTTACGACTCTTCACGACCGACGCCCACACGGGCCCCTCAGCCCTACTGCATGGCCGCGCTCAACCCCTTCGCAGAGGCGCTCCTCCTCCAGGCCATCCCCACGATCGAGAAAACTCGCTACGCAGAACGTGAGTGCCCCTTCACCTCACGTCATCTCACACCAGCGAACGGAACGCTGTCTGACGCGGAGATTGTGCAGTCGCGAGCACCGTCATCATCCTGTTCGATCACGGTGAGTGCTGCTCGATCGGTCCGACGCTACATGACGGGGCCTGGCTGATGTGCGACGTGCGATGTGCAGTCATCACGTTGGATCAGGAAGTGAGTCGCGCTTCGTGCTCCCGCTTTGGCAGGGAGGTTCCGGTGCGACTAGTTGACTGACTGTTCTCTCTGAATGATAGATCAGCCTCATATGGGTACGAACGTTCGAAGAGTATATGCGGAGGGTGCATGAAGCTGATGGAGGTTGTGCGTGTAGCATTCGACATGGTCATTAGGGAAGGTCCTGTTCCTAATGGTGAGTCCCCTCGCTTTCTGCGCATTTCTTCATCTCATCAACCCGGCACCGAAGAATCGATATTATGCCCTCTGCATAGTCATGTAAGCCCCTCCTCGTTGGTCCATGCGTATACTTGACAAGGACTGACGTTTTCTGTCTCCGTCGATCAGCTTCAACAACTACGGTCAGTACTCCGACCCGGCATGCACCTGTCAGCCCTAGAAAGCCTGACCGACGTCCGTCCCTTCCAGCGCTGTTCAATAACAACGTCCTCACCGACACAGTAAGTCTACAGCCACAATCTTGTTCCCATACTGTTCGCTGACGTCGTCTATCTGCGCAGTTGTACGTCGCACCGTGTTTCCCGTACGGTTGACGCGTACAGGTGAACTGACGGATCCCCTCAGCTGCCTGTCCTGGTTCCGATGGCAAGGCTGGACGGGCGTCATCACCTTCATCATCGCAGAATGTACGCCTCCTCCCTTTTCTACCCCTCCCTCCCCTCCTCTCCTCCACTCTTCACCTCTCCCGAATCACCCTGACTGACCGCGCTATGAATGACAGTCATCCTGCAACTACGCCTCTACGCGCTCTACTTCCGCGACAAGCGCGTGCTCGCGTGCATGCTCACGGTCTGCCTGGGGGCCGCCGCGAGCTCCGCGTACGTCATGGGCGACGCGCTCGCGCACATCACCTGTACGTCCTCCTTCCCCTCTCCCTCTCCCTCTTCCTCACAAGACACTGACCCCTCTACGCAGCGGTGGCCGTGACGCTCCCGTCGGGCTCGACGGTCTGCGTGCCGACGGGCCTGCCCGCGCACTTCTACGCGTTCTGGATCCCGATGCTCGTGTCCGAGAGCGCGCTCTGCGGGCTCGCGCTCTTCCGCGGCTTCCAGAGCTACAGCCCCGGCTCGACCGTGTTCCAGAGCGGGAAGCGCATCATCGAGATCTTGGTCAGGGACTCGCTCTTCTACTTCGTCATGTGCGTCTTCTCCCTTGCCCCTTCCTCCGCGCCTCCTTTGCGTGGCTGACGTGTTTGCGGGCGAGCAGCATCTTCGCGACGTACCTCACGAACACGATCATCTTCTTCACGCGGCCCGACTCCGAGGTCGAGATCTCGATCGGCTTCGCCGTCGCGCTCTCCGTCGTGATGGCGAACCGCCTCTGCCTCAACGTCCGCGGGTACATCCGCGCCGAGAACGCGTCGCTCAGCACCCTCCCCGCGCCGTACGCCGCGCGCTCCCACCACCACTCTCGCTCCCATGCCCACCCGGGCGCGCAGGGGTACTCGGGGTGCACGAGTGACGGCGAGGACGGGGAGGGCGAGGGGGCGTATGGGGAAGAGGAGAGCAGGGACGAGCGCGAGCGCGGCTGGGGGATGACGACGATCAAGGTCGTGCACGGCGGCGTGCTCAGCGAGGTCGAGATGCGCGAGCTGCGCGCGATGCGCGCGCAGAGCCCGAAGCATACGCGGACGTTGTAGCCCCGTCGCCTTCTCTCGTTCTCCCTCCCTCGTCTATCGTTGCTTTCGTTTTCGTTTTCGATTTGGGGCAAGTTGTTGTACGCTACTGCTGCTCAATGTGGTGGAGACGATCTACTGCTGCCCGGCGCGCGTCGGGTATTTATGGTGTATTATTGGTTTACATTACCTCCTCTCTTCCCCTCCCTCCCCTCCTCTTCCTCCCGTCCCCCGTCTGCCACCATCTGCCACCGTCCTCCCTCTCCCTCCCTCCCTATTCTCCCCAGCATCCCACCTCCCACCTCCCGCCCCGTCATCCCGTCCCGGCCAGCACATCACTACCACCACCCACATCGTTCCACCGTTATCTTGTCTTACCTCCCGCCTCGCATTGTTGTACCACATCCGACTCACCGACTTGTATACGCTCGTTTTGCCCGAATCTCCTCACTTACCATCTCTCGCGCTGTCGCACTCGCTGTTCTCCGTAGATCATCCGCAGCTACTGTACTGTCCCCCAAGAAACCGTCCATCTACCTGTCCAGTGTCCACCTCACCCGCACCCATACATATGTGTATGCGCTTGCTTGCTGTGTACGTCGCGCACCGTGAAGGACGCACTTGGACAACACAACGCACGTCGTGGCATGCATGGTGCGTACGACTGCATGCGGAACGCGCGATGCTGAGTACGCGAGGTGCCTGAAGGGAGGGAGGGGGTTGCGGGAGGAGAAAAAGCAAAAAGCACAAAATGCTTCTTGGAGGACTGGATGACGAGAGTGGGATTCGAACCCACGCCCGTGAAGACCAGATATCGGTGGTACAACCTTAGTCTGGCGCCTTAGACCACTCGGCCATCTCGCCATGTCACATTTTTGTCTCCTTCTGTTGACGATCGCGTGCACGGAGTGTGGATGCAAGAACGCTGCTCGAGTCGAGAGAGTATGATGATACACGGTAGTACTGTTTACTTCACTGCTAAGACCTCCACCTGTTCTATGTTTACCCCTATCAGCGCCAACGCGCCCTCGACGCCGGCGGATTGCTTCATTGACCGGCGAGAGCCCTCTTCGTGTTGATGATGTCGACGAACTCGGGCTTGAGCGATGCGCCTCCGACCAGGAAGCCGTCGACATCCTTCTGGCTGCCTAAACATCACATTACGTTAGCCTCAGAGGACACTCCGCGTACGCTCCACCAAGGAAGCACTCACCGAGCTCCTTGCAGTTCGCCGCCGAGACGGAGCCGCCATAGATGATGCGCGTGTTCTCCGCGACCTGCGGGTCGACCGCGCCCGCGAGGAACGCGCGGATGTCCGCGTGCGCCTCCTGCGCCTGCGCGGCGCTCGCGACCTTGCCGGTGCCGATCGCCCAGACGGGCTCGTACGCGACGACGACGTTCGCCCAGTCGTCCTTGGCGAGGGCGTCGACGACGGGCTTGAGCTGCGCCTCGACGACGGCCTTGGTGCGCCCGCCCTCGCGCTCCTCGAGCGTCTCGCCGACGCAGAGGATGACGCGCAGGCCGGCGTCGAGCGCGGCGCGCGTCTTCTGCGCGACGATCTCGGAGGTCTCGTGGAAGAGCGTGCGGCGCTCGGAGTGGCCTGCGGGGATGGGGCGGGGTTAGTGGGAGATAGACGGAATGCAGGGCGGGTGGGTCGCCGAGGGGGCTCACCGAGGATGACGTAGGGAACGCCGGCGTCGACGAGCTGCGCCGGGCTGTCGCGGTGACTATGTTAGCCTGGAGACCACTGCGCAAGAGAGAGGGGACATGTACCTAGTCTCGCCAGTGTACGCGCCGGAGGACTTGAAGTAGCAGTTCTGGGCAGCGACCTGGATGTCCTTGCGGAGGATCTCCTTCAAGGGGATGATATAGATCGAGGGGGGAGCGATCACGACCTCTGCATCCTCTGGTCAGTATAGGTTCAGAGCACAATGCAAGCGCAAGGACGCACCGACGTTGGGGTCGATGTCGGCCTCGTTGAGGACCTTGACGAGGGTCCTCTTCTGCTCCCGGGAGGTCGGGTTCATCTTGAAGTTGCCGCCGACGAAGAACTTGCGTGCCATTTTGCCTGACTGTTTGTGCGGTAGTGGGTGGTTGTGCTAGGAGGAGGAGGAGGAACGGAGAAAGGTGGATCGATTGGATTGGGGCGAACGGAGACTCTGGGTCGATCCCGGTGCGATCTCGATCTATCGCAGCGCATCTCATCTTACTTATCTCCCACCCGCGCTTCTGTGACGCTACGCGTTTCCTTATGTGACGACACGCGTCTTGCCCTCTCTCTCTCAGACTGCGGTCGGCCTGCATGAGTACGGTTGCCTCTTTGTCGCTTTCTGGACGTTCAACTTCGTGGGCATGTCTCTCAAACATGTGTCTCGGGATCTGCTAGGCCCCCTGCTGAACGGAAGCTAAGAGCTTGTAGGAGCTCAAGAGATTCTGACTCTATGCACCCTTTGCCTCGCTGGATCGCTCCGTTCACGCTTCGAACGAACTCACTGTAACTTGGCTGGAGTCGACGACTGCCGCAAGGACCCACTATGGCTTCATCTAATTGGCACAATCTGCTTTTCTCTGACTGGACTTCGATTGCCCCGCATTGTGGGCAACTCGTCTTGCGAACCCACACTGGCACTTGAGATCAAGCCTCTACTTGACTGCAGTGGTCCATGATCGTATTGCGAGACTCCCAGTAGATCCACACCATCAAACGCTGAACGCACGGTTGACAAGATCGATGCGGCATAATATAGTGGTCGATCTATGACATCTCTTCCTCGATCAGTGAACGGGCTTCTGTGACGCAGCCAGCCGGTGCTTTAGCACTCTGACACGGAAAGCAGTAACGTCGTGGAGCAGGAGGGAGTCCGCCATATATCAACCCTTGTGCCCGAGGCTACGCTGCTCAGACTCCCCCGTACCCTTCCTCGTCAACATCGACCATGGCGCCCAAGTTTCTCAGCACAAAGCGCAAGTCTGCGAACGTCCAGGGCGCACTCCCTCAGCCCGAGAAGAAGGCCCGCACGACTACGGACTCTATTCGCACCATTGCCGGACTCCTCGTTGACTCAATCCTCGCCGACCCAAAATCCCACCCCATCTGCGCGAACCAGGAACTCGTCAGGAACTCCCTGGTAGAGCTAGCCACCTACGCGCGCTCTCTCGAGCAACAGCTCTCCGCCCGCGCTGCACCTGCACCCGCAGCCCCGAGCGCCAGCAGCGCTCCCCCGGCCGAGCAGGGTGCGAGGCCCCGCGCGAAGTCGCCCGAAGAGATCAAGGCAGAGGCAGAGAAGATACGACGTGCTGCGCAGAGCGGCATCATCAAGCAGATGGGCGTAAGTGACCTCAACCGTGGATCTACGCGCCTCACTTCACGAGCCGATGCGCATATATGCAGTGGAAACCCACCTGCAGAGAGGGTAGATCGAAGTGGTCCTACGACGGCTTCTGCCCCGATCCGGAGGTGTTCGGTGCGCTCCTTGGCCTTGGTGGACCCCCGAAGTTCAGGAGCAGGAAGTTCGACCGCGACGAGTTCCAGAGGCACATCGGGCAGATCGAGGGCTCCGTGAGGTGCGCGCTCGTAGTACCTACTCTCTGCAGTTGATCTCCTGACGATGCACCCGTGACGCCGCGACGTCGTCGCCCTAGATATGCGACCCTCTATATCACCAGCAGCCAGGTCACCGTGCAATGGTCTGAGACGGGCGAGTTCAAGTTTAGCGGCCTCTACGGCAAATGGCAGCCTCCCAAGGACTGATTGGTATTTCTGCTACTTATTGTCATGGAGTCATGCAGTGTGCTGATCATTTGCGCTCCCTACGATACAGCTTGACGGAGAGCCATGGGGCTCGTCATGCGTATCACTCGAAGCGTCGTGGACCTTGACCAGAAAGCAATCCGAGATCACAAGTGGTCCTCCCGCAGGCAAACGTGGAACACGTGAAGTTGGATTGTGAGACGTTTGTGTGTGCTTCGTAGCCGTACTGCCAGTAACTGTGACCATGCACGATGCGCGAAGCAATTCAAGCATGGCACGGCGCAGGCCGCAATCATATTCTACCCAAATACTCATCCAAGCCACTTGAGAATCCTTCGTATTTCGTCGTCTCCACCAGCGCAAGCCTGGTCTGTGTAGAGATCTGCGCGTGCGCTGAGTTCCCCCCGGAATGTGAGTCCACGTCTACCAGCATATCGATGGTCCCTTCCCATGCGGCGACAGTAAGTCCCCGCCTCTTCATGCGATAGCACCTATGATAAGTCAGGCGTATCGCTGTCATATCCAGCCGAACCGGAGGTGGTGAAATCGGGGCTCGAACGGCGTCTCCGAAGGGCGGAAAGGCGGCTCGACCGCCGGAGGGATCTACTCGTACGCGTTGGACTTTGCTCCTCGAGCTTCGGCCGGATGATGCGAGTCATACTGCGTGCTCGCGGAGCCGGCGACTGGAGAGTTGAGTGATAGACGTTCTGTGTCAGATCCTAGGCAACGCGTGCGTACACGTCCTGGACCATACCTCATCCTCGGGGTCAGTTTCGCTGGGGGTCTCCCATGAGTACTTCCGTTTCAAGCCAGTACCGTCGTCCTTGCGACGAGGAAGCTAAAGTCATACAAGCTGAACAGTGAGAATGCAATGTTGCGTCATACCTCGGATTCCAGATCTTCAAGCCGTGTATAGGTGGAAGCCGACCTCAACCTAGGCCTCGGCCTCAACACCCGCGACTGACGCCGGTTTGAACGAACCGCTCGAACGAGAGGAAAGGCGGACATACACTCGTGGCTATCCCGACATCGTGCTCGACTGAGGATTCTGCTTTTCTGCCGTCGACGCCGTCACGATGCGGCGCTTCCGCTATCTCTCCGTAGCTATCGTCCACCTCAGGCTGTCGATGTCTGTCAGTAACATGACACAGTCCTCGCCTATGAGAGTGGGCGTTTCACCTCGAGTTCGCATGACTTGTGTGCAGACCGTACAGGAATCATCTTTTCCCCCGGCTTTCCAGCGACAACTTGTCCGCCCGCCATCACCTCTTTGAGCTCCGCTTCCAGGGCCTTGACGCGTTCATGCAGGGCTGAAGCAGTGGCGGACGAGTCACGTAGCTCGTCTTCCACCGCGGCTTTCGCCGTCTGCAGGGCTTCCAACTCACTCCTCGCCGTCGCGAGTGCGGTCTCAGTCTCTTTGAGCTGTTGAAATCAGTGTTGGATACAAGTGCTGGAACGGAAGACGAAGGAGGCAGGCTTACCGTCTTCATGCATGACGCCAACTTGGCGTTGCGAGAGACGTGAGATGTGACTGCTTTGCGGAGGCACTTCATCATGTGTAAGATTAAGCTACCATTGAACATGTTCAACTGCATGGCATGGCTGAGTGGAATGATGTAGCACGACTGTACAGACTCACTCCGTCGAATTGACCCTGCTGCTCCACCGCTGGGACTACATTGTCGCAGACTATGGACGCTATGCTCTTCAGGATGTCCGATGCGAACGCGTCTCCCATGGTTTTCAGCTATTTTTGAGCCTATATGAAGCCTGAGTGCGAACGAAGTGGGTGCTGGGCGTACGCACCTCTACGTTGCTTGGACCTCCGCGCTGAAGCAGCTGCGTGTCTTCAATAGCTGCCTGGACATTCTGAGCCTGCTTGAGCAGAAACGCTGGGTCCGCCACGGTGAATTTCTTCCGCCCGTGGGGCGCGTCACCCTCCTCGGATTCCTTGCTTACTTCGGCATGGAGGGCAACGCTGTCCCGAACGACATCTTCGAGGGTGACAAGCAGATTCTGCATGAATTGGACATCGACGAACGTGTTCTATGAAGCACATAGATAGACTCGTGAGCATCACACACGCGTAGGCAGGGCAAATACGAGATGGCAT